CTTTCCACAAATCCTGGGGAATAGATTTCTTCTACCATACTTGAACAGTCCCACCCTTGCTGCTTTCATATTGTTGCTGCATATAGCAGGGATGCGGCTGTGGCCATTTTGAACTCCTCCCGGCTCCCACCATATAAAGTGACCTCAGATTCTCCAGTCCAGCTTGGAAGTTTCAGCACCTGCCCTATAAGATGACACCCGATGTATAAGATGACCTCCAACTTTTGAGAAGATTTTCCTGGGTTACAAAGTAGTTTTATATGCCAGAAAATACAGTGTACACACACACACACACACACACATTTGGATAGCATAGGGAATGGTCAACACCCCTGTGGTGTTTGTTTTGCTACCTGTGCCCCTGTTCAGAAGATTTTGCCTGTGATAACTGGACTTTGGAAAATTTGGCTTGTTATAGAAACAAGGATTGTTGATAAAGCTTCAGTGGAAATACCTCTTTTCCCCCATGATAACTCTCTCAGGAGTGAATTTCTATTCCAAGGAGTAGATTTCTCCCACTTCCTGTTGTCTCAGCCCCGTTCTTAACTCATAAATCATTTGTAACTCGGATGTTTGTAACTCTTGTTGTTTGTTTTGTAGTTAATATTATTCTTTGATAGTTTGTTGAATCTTATAAGTCTCTTAAGAGACAGCTGTCATGACTAGAGACCCCCGAATGGCATCAATAAATAAAATGCAGATTTTGAAATGGAGGAAGACAAACAAGGTTGGGCAAACAAGGGAGGCATTCTAGTGAATTTCCCCTTTGGCCTTACTTCCCCTTGTCAGCATTGCTGATGCTCCAAGATAGTCCAATATCTGGCAATGTAACAAAAGAACCGGGAGTGCAGGGAAAAGGGACTTTTTGCTAGTATGGATTCAAAAAATGTCAAACATTGCCACTTGGAACTGGTCTCTCTCTGAGCTAAAGCAGTGTTGCATGCAACATCATTAGTATTAGTATTATGCTGAGATCCTGTGAAGGCTATGCAAACATTACTCATGAATATTCAAATCCAAATGAAAAGGGAAGTTCCCAAATGAGAAAACTCAGAAGGGAAAAATCCTGAACCAACAAGGCTGTTTATAGCTTGGGATTTATTCTGCATGAAAACTGAGCCGTGTTTTCCCTCTCTTTGTGTGAAACAATTTGGAATTTTCTTTGCAGAAATCTTTTTTCCACCTGAAGATTTTGGCACAGAATTATTAAAAACAATGTAGTTTCATGGGCTTCCTCACAGAAGGAGGGATGGCTTAGCTGAAGACTTTAATCCAGACTGAAGAGCTGCTATTGCAGAAATTCTGCTTTCGTACTTCTAAGGTATTGGACAGAAGTCCTAGAAGTCACCCTGGTAGTATCACTGGACAGACCCAACATCTAACTGGTATTATTTCAATAAACTTTGTAGGCCAGTGAATAGCCATTTTGGCTGTGGGTACAGAGGCAGTGAAAAGAAAAAAGGAAAGAAGACCACCAATAGCCCTCTCATCTAATTCAGATTAGGACAAGCAACAATGGCTTCAAACTACAAGAAAGGAGATTCCATCTGAACATGAGGAAGAACTTCCTGACTGTGAGAGCCGTTCAGCAGTGGAACTCTCTGCCCGGAGTGTGGTGGAGGCTCCTTCTTTGGAAGCTTTTAAACAGAGGCTGGATGGCCATCTGTCAGGGGTGATTTGAATGCAATATTCCTGCTTCTTGGCAGGGGGTTGGACTGGATGGCCCATGAGGTCTCTTCCAACTCTTTGATTCTATGATTTAAGTATCAGTAACTGCAGGATATCCAGGGGTGAGTCTAGGACTCTTCAGGAGGCTGCATGAAATTTCAAAACCCTTCAATATGTTTGGAAGTCCACTTCTATTCCCAAAAATGTTTCTTTTTTGATATGTAAAATTACAAAGAGGCCTTAAAGCCAGTTTTAAAATGAAGTTTATTTATTTATTTATTTATTTACAGTTCTTATATTCCGCCCTTCTCACCCCGCAGGGGACTCAGGGCGGATTACAGTAAACACATATATGGCAAACATTCAATGCCAGTTTGACAAACAACATTTAACAGACAAAGGCTATTTAACTTTTTTTCTGGCCGCCAGGGGAGCTGCTGCTTTTCATCGTCCATCAACGACACCGATGAAGTTCTTCCGCATTCCACATTCCCCGGAGTCTTCTTTCTTTATGGCCTCATAAATTAGTTAAATTTAGCCTCCCACACAAGGTGGTACCTTATTTTCCTACTTGACAGATGCAACTGTCTTTCGGGTTGCAAAGGTCGACAACAGGCTACACAATTGGTTGGAAACCCACTCCAACCCGGGCTGGCTTCGAAATCATGACCTTTTGGTCAGAGTGATCTTAATGCAGCTGACACTCAGCCAGCTGCGCCACAATCCCGGTGTTGTTGCACCCAGAGGTTTCCAGAAGAGACAATCCACCACGAGGCCTTGGGCTTGCACCTTTCCTATCCCTGATTTATCTCTTCAAAGAAGCAAAGAGGGGTAGCACATCCCCTGTTGTTCATTGCATTGTGTGTTTTGGGAAGTGAACTGGAGGAGGTATCCAAATGGCCCTCAAACACCACACTGAGAGCCTTAAGTTGCTAGGGCAGTGGTTCTCAACCTGTGGTCCCCAGATGTTTTGGCCTTCAACTCCCAGAAATCCTAACAGCTGGTAAAATGGCTGGGATTTCTGGGAGTTGTAGGCCAAAACACCTAGGGGCTCACAGGTTGAGAACCACCATGCTAGGGAAACCACACATGCAATGGTATGCTTAATCCATAGTGGTCAACTACACCAGCCCCAAAACCAAAGTGGACAAGAAGTTAATCCTGGAAATCCACATGCTATCCAAGGACTTACAGTCCTTAACATGGGTGAACAAGGGTGAGCCAGTTTAGCTCTGTGCCAAGAAATGTTGAGGAATGCTCCAGAGTTTTGATGAAGCTCAGAGCAGCCCTGCACTTCAGGAAGAGTGTGGACAACTAGGAGTGGTTCCAATGTGAATTGGTCTACTGTCCATGCAGGCTGGTCCACCATCTCTTTTCTCTGAACTCATAATCCAATAATGGCAATAAGATAATGGTCCAACAAGGCAAAATCAGTTTGGCTGAGCTGGACTGCACAGACTCCACTCCACTGCTGCTGCAGGTCAGGCATGGAGTATATTAAGCTGAAATATCACTGCTCTGAATTAGCCACAGATTAATGCACCAGTGTAGATAGGGCTTGAAAAATAGTTATGCAAAACCCACTACAAGAAAATGTAGTGTTATTTGTTACTCAGTTTTTCACTCACAGGAGTTCCCCAAACATTGTACAGTAAGGTATTGTAGATACTATGCAATGAATCTTAGCAGAGGGCAAAGTGGCTGAAAACCCTCAGGGAATCTAATTATACATTGGAACCACAAGCCAGCTGTAATGTCTTTCAGCTATTCAGTTTGCACTGGATGTGCCCTATCATATCTATGATATACATTACAGAGTTTGAGGTCATTGTATGAAGCTTCCTTTAAAAGAATTGTTTTGGCTTGGTTTTACAATCTGATTTCTTTACTTGAATGACTAGACTGTACTTCTCCCGGTGTTTTGGATTTCTGGAAGCTGAAGTCTGAAACACCTGGAGGAGCAGAGTTTGAAAAATACTAGACTAGTATATCAAATTAGTGATTGTCTAACTGGCCATCAGATGGCACCGTAATATAAACACAATTAACTTTTGGTGGCTGTTTTGAAAAGTTGAATACATGCTGTTCAGTTGCATAGGACAAAAGCAGAAACACGAGTTTGCTGAATGCCTATTAGGGATGTAATTCTTTGCTGATTTCATCCTTAAAGAATGAAACTGTGAGAAAGTTTTCCCAGACTGTGCAGTTTTTGAAAGCTATTCACAGTTCAGCACCTTTTCTGTGCAAAAATTACCCTTTGTTTGTCTTCCCTGAAAACAGCATTAGCTGAAGATATTGTTTTATGGAAGAAATCTGTACAGAAAATTCTATTTCTGGTGCAGAAAAGTTTGCAATTTTGGATTTATTCTGCAATACTATATTATGCACGCACGTGCACACAAACCATTGTCAATTTTTTTTTGCAAAGGATTAGTCCCAAACTGTGAAGCTTCTTGTCACTCCAGGACTCTCCTTGTCAACATTCTCCAAGTTTGAGAGAAACTTGGATTTTAAGAATACTTTTTGAATATTTTAAAAATATTATTTCTATCTCTACTACGTTTACAGTCCCAGATCATGGCAGCTTTAAAAATTGACTTAAGTGCCATAGCCATTGGTTATTGTGTGGATCCTGACCCCAAATGGGGTCACTTTAGCTCAGTGTTGGGGTCATGAAAAAAAATGGCAACAGTAAAAGGTTTCCGAGAACCACCCATTTGCAGCAATCTGTTAGCAACACAGGCGGTGTTTACACTTGACTTCGGTAGAAAATTCTTCAGTTCTACTTCACAAAAAGGAAAATCAGCCTGTTTAGCAACCTATTTTATATACCAATATATCTGAGGTCATGTAAAAAAGTATTCGGCAGAAAGAGATCACATGTGAAAAAGCTGAAGAAGCCCTAGTATAGAGTAAAATCAGCAGGCAGGTGCAAGAGAAAATAATTCATCTCTTATTTAACAATTTGAATTCCTTAACACGTTGACATAATTCTGGCTCTTTTCCCCATCAACAATTTTTGGATTTGTCTTAACACAGTAATATGCATAGAGAGACTCATTATATTAAGCCTCAGAAGTTTTTGAAGTCTCATTTGTAAACAACCACAGAATGGATCAAATCTGCAAACCTGAGATAATTGTAGACAAGGGAAAATCTCAGGTTGGACACTAAGTCTGGAGATAAAGTGGATACAACATAAAGCAACACACCATCTTAATTTTCTAAAACTTTAAAAACTAGGCTGGCATATCCAAACAGATGCCCATCTATTTATTCTTCCTCTTTCATGCAAAGTAACATGCAAATATTTCCATTAAAAAAATTCTTACCAGTTGCACAGAGGAGCAGAACAGAGAAGCCCAGGAGAAGGTATTTGTTCATCTTGAGGACTGTGCTGAGGAAGAGAGAGAGTGAAGAGATGTGTGTGTTGATGACACAAGAGTGAAAGAAGAAAGATCAGCCCTGCAAGTGGATTTAGAGATGGGAGGTTTGGAGTCAAGAATTTATGTCCATCTAGATCTGGGAACAACCAATGGGATGAAGGCTCCAGGACAACAGAAACTGAAAAAGAAGTATCTAGATGATGCCACGTGAGTGCAGATAATTGTGCATGAATCCAGGTGCAATCCAATTGAAGCATATTTCCATTCTTAATGGGCCGCCTTTATCACAGAACCCTGCTAAGAAGTACCTATATCTTTTGCAAATATATGTTATAGACAGACATCTCAACCAAATAGCTGAATTGATATACTAGAAAGCAACAAGGAATGTTTTTTTTCCAATCATGTGTAAACACATCAAAATTGCATGTGTATAATCATTAAATTTTCAATTATCAACACATATTGCATCATGCTTAGAAATCTTTCCAAGTAGAAATCTTGTAACATCTAGAACAGTGTTTCTCAATCTGGGGGTCAGGACTGCTGGGAGGGTCATGAGGGGGTTTCAGAGGGGTCGCCAAAACCATCAGAAAACATATGTTTCTGATGGTCTTAGGAACCCCTTTGGCATAGTTGTTTGGGATCACAGTACTCTCTAATGTAAGTGAACTACATCTCCCCTAAATCACTGTCAATTCTTGGCAGGGGGTTGGACTGGATGGCCCATGAGGTCTCTTCCAACTCTATGATTCTATTATTCTAATTCATCCCAAATCACTCCAGTATTTTCTGTTGGTCATGGGGGTTCTATATGGGAAGCTTGGCCCAATTCTCTCCTTGGTGGAGTTCAGAATGTTCTTTGGTTGTAGGTGAACTATAAATCCCAGCAACTACAACTCCCAAATGTCAAGGTCTATTTTCCCCAAACTCCACCAGTGTTCACATTTGAGTATATTGAGTACTCGTGCCAAATTTGGTCCAGATCCATCATTGTTTGAGTCCGTGCTCTTCTGCGATGTAGGTGAACTACAACTCCAAAACTCAAGTCAATGCCCACCAAACCCTTCAGTATTTTCTGTTGGTCATGGGAGTTCTGTGTGCCAAGTTTGGTTCAATTCCATCGTTGGTGGAGTCCAGAATGCTCTTTGATTGTAGGTGAACTATAAATCCCAGCAACTACCTCCCAAATGACAAAATCAATTCCCCCTTCCCAACCTCAATAGTATTTAATTTTGGGCGTATGGGGTATTTGTGCCAAATTTGGTCCAGTGAATGAAAATACATCCTGCATATCAGATATTTATATTACGATTCATAACAGTAGCAAAATTACAGTTATGAAGTAGCAACGAAAATAATTTTATGGTTGGGGGTTACCATAACATGAGGAACTGTATTAGGCCTGTTTGATCAAGAAAAAATTTGTTTCTAAAATCGATTTGTAATTGGGGTGTTTTTTTGTTTCGATATTTAAAATAATTACAAAACTTTCCAAAAAAAGTTTCGGTATTTACGAAATTTCGTAAATATTTACAAAACATTTTGTAAAGATGGCGCCCTTTTTTTTTCAATATTTTTAAAATATTTTTTAAATTTAATTATTAATTTCGTAGATAGGGAGGAGAAATTATTATTGAGGGAAGGCAGGCACTCACTCTGGCGGGCCCTCTCGCTCGCCGCTCGCTCGCCCTCTCGCTCGCCGCTCGCCCTCTCGCTCGCCGCTCGCCCTCTCACTCGCCGCTCGCCCTCTCACTCGCCCTCTCGCTCGCTGGGAGCTGTAGTTTGGCAAACTCTTCTTCCTGCAAGCAGACCCCTCTCTCTTCCTTCCTCCTTTCCTTCCTTCCTGGGACTCTCAAGTGCGGGGTTTAATCCGTGGAGCCGTGCACCTGCATGCCAAATGGTCTCCTCTCCACCGCTATGACAGGCTTTAATCTCCTCCCTTCCTCGTGTTTAAGTGACGTTTTGGTGAGTTAGAGACTGAAAGGCCGCAAAAGGAGGGAAGGGGGAGGAGGGGGGGTCAGGAAAGCTATGGGATCCCTCTCACTCGCCCTCTCGCTCGCCGCTCGCCCTCTCGCTCGCCCTCTCGCTCGCCCTCTCGCTCGCCCTCTCGCTCGCTTGCTCAGCCGGCGCGGAGAGAGGAGAGCTCCCAGCAAGCCAGGCGGCCATCTTACGTATTTCCGAAATGGACGGAAATACAAAATTTTTTGGCGCCTGCCGTTTCGATATTTAAAAACCCTTCCGGGTTTGAAAATATGTTTTGTTATCGTTTCGTATATGCAAAAATTAACGAATGTTTAACGAATTACGAAATTAACGAACGAAACCGCACAGGCCTAGTATTAAGGGGTCATGGCATTAGGAAGGTTGAGAACCACTGCTCTAGAGCACATTGCACTCCAGACAGAATTATATCTTTCGTTTGATATATATTTTAAAGATATAGCAATGTAAATATATCAGTATTGCAAAGCTTGTACTCCGAAAATAATATCTTCTTTCATCATTATATACCTTTAGCATTGCAAATATTGGCCAGGAGCATCCTATTTTTAATCCTGGAGGCAAAGGAAGTCCTTCATTTAATCAATTAACTAATCAATTATCTTGTCTTTCTCCTGGCACAGGACATAAGGCTGCTTACAGCAAGTTACGGTAATACAATCATTCCTCCACATTTTACATTTTGGCTTTTACAGATTTGATTATTGATGGATTTGATTAAGAATATTCTGTTTAGGAATCTCAAGGTTCTCCAATGTGATTCTGTGGGCAAGTTCCAGCAGAAATTCCTAAAGAGTTTTTTTTTCCTCAGGTAAAAAAGGCAATTTTGTTTATTGGTTCTTCACTTTCATGGGGGGCCTGTGCCCCAAACCCCAGCAAAAGTAGAGGGATGACTGTACAAAATGTTGTTGTTCATTTGTTCAGTCGTTTCCGACTCTTCGTGACTTCATGGACCAGCCCACCCAGAGCTCCCTTTCGGCTGTCACCACCCCCAGCTCCTTCAAGGTCAATCCAGTCACGTCAAGGATACCATCCATCCATTTTGCCCTTGGTTGTCCTCTCTTCCTTTAGGTTGCCAAAATTTGATTTGTTGAAAAACTGGAATCAGAGTTGACCCACATTGGGAGCATCTAAACCAATAGTTCCCAAACTGTAGTCTGTGGATCACCAGTGGTTCACAAGAACTAAAATATGGGCCGTGGTCCACTGGTGAGCCAGAGGCATGAAATTATTAAATTATTAAATATGGTTTTCTGTGGGTGAGCAGCTGGCGACTACTGGATGGCATATGTTCTGTATCAGAAACTAGAGCTGATGTGGTCTATCCAATGCAATTTTCTGAATCAGCACCCCAAATAACCAAACCGAATCTAAAGTTGACCAAAAATTGATTTGTAACCTTTTTGGTAGTAATATTAGAGAGTGATCCTGGATCAAAGTGGTCCTTGGTCAAAAAAAGGTTGGGAACCACTGATCTAAACCAAGCTTCAGAGATAATCCTCTGAGGATGTATCTACACTGCAGAATTAATGCAATATGATACCACTTGAACGGCCTGGCTCAATGCTAAGGAATCATGGAAGTTGTAGTTTTACAAGGTCTTTAGCTTTCTCCACTAATGAGTGTTATTCCCTTACAAAACCATCACATTTTAGAATGCTATAGTGTTGAGTCATGGAACTTCAAATTCTGCAATGTGGATAGTCTATTAGTGCATGAGTTCTACAGTGTAGATGGAAGAAGGAGAAGGAGAAGGAGAAGGAGGAGAAGAGGAAGAAGAAGAGAAGAAGAAGAAGATGATGATGATGATGATGAAGAAGAAGAAGAAGAAGAAGCTTTATTTATATACATCCTATCTCCCCAATGGGGACTCAAGTGCGGTTAACAACAAACAGCGGCAAATATTCAATGCCATAAAGTGCAATCAACAGTAAGTACGATGCACCCTTCATTAATAATAGAACTGGGTCTGCTTTTGCCAACATTGCTGAATCCTTATTTTCAACACATTGCAGAAAAAAGGGACGCAGATTGTAATACCCTAGTCCCAGTGTTGGTATCACAGAAATTCTCTACAGTCACTTATGGACCCATTGCTAAGACTACTTCTGGAAAACACTTATACTCGATCATGAGGGATCACCTATGTTGATATAATGATCTCTTGATTTCACTTACTAGATAGACAGCAGAGTTACAAAAAGTGTGTCATCCATCTATTTGCCAATGTGTGTTCATTTGCAATTCCAGGAATTAGCTCAGTGGAGACCACGCTAGTTTCTATTTAAAAAAACATTCCTGCAGCAACCAGACTCTCGGTCTGGGTGTGCCCTACAGCCAGAAAGATTCTTGGGATGCTTTCAAACTAAGGCAGATTAATGGGCAGGACCTGAATGAGAAAGTTGGTAAAGAGGTTATGCACAGGTTTTGGCGAGAGTCTTACATTTGAAGGACTGAATTCAACCTCTGATTCAGAACTTCAGAGCCAAACGATCCCCAGCAGAGGTGTATGAAGACATCCAATAAGCGAGAACCTCCAGGCAATTGGTGCCACTGTCCAACTTTGCTTACTTTGAAATGTTTCTCTGAGCATTCAGTCAAAATCTATCGTCTTCTTCCTATTCGTATTTCTAGATCTCAGGGACTGTCCCTTTCCCTCCTTTACTCCAGAGAGGCAAGAACATTGCTTTTAAAAGTCTCGTCTTCCACTTTTATGCAGATTTAATTATATGTGGATTTGATTATTTGAGGTTTTGATTAATATGTTCTCAAGCAGTGAGGAAAGTCAGATATTATTATTATTATTATTATTATTAGCTAGAAAACTCTAGGGACTTCATAGAGAAGGCAGGGCAGTGTGATTGTGGGTGTATCACAATGCCATATTGCATTACTTTTTGCAAGACATCAATACTGTATTTTCACTGTTCAGGTTTCACTTCATGACTTTGTCATATGTTTTCATTCTTGAGAGAAACCTGTTAATAAACTCCCAATAGCACTTCATTTACACAATGCCACTTGTGCAATAGACCACTAGCAGTGTTGACTAGACTTGTGTGGAGTTGTTGGTTCTTTTTTGGCCAATCCAGTTTGGTTGGCTTAGCTGGATGGCCA